TTTCTCTTACCCTAATTTTTCCTGGAGCAGGAAAGTGATTTCAAAGACAGGCTTTGAAGAAACAGCCCTGCAGTTTCTTGCAAGAATGTGCAACTTCTAGTATGGTATGGCACACCCTATGCAAGGTTCTTATCTTTCTTTGCCTTGGTTCCTCATTCTGAAAGGAAACCGAATAAGCCACGTGCGTGAAACAAACATACTCAGCATTGCGGCCAGCACATACCGTGTTCCAAAAGTCACACCGAGAACACTAGGCTAAGAAGGACCTGCTTGCAGAGTCGGCCACTGGTTAGTGTCTGGCAACTTTGACATTTCTAAAGCTGGTCAGGGTGGTTCGCTGTACCTCAACCAACCACGAGTATGACTTGTGCTAAACAGCTGCTATCCTTCCAGCATGTGTAATTTTGGTATCTCCTAAGACACACACGATGGGTACTGAATCTATAACAATCGTCCCTCACAGACATGCTCACTGTCACAGTACGAGAGGATCATGCACATCCTTTATTGTTAGTACCTCACCTGGTGCCTGGAAACTTTGCTTTTGTTTTGCGTTCTCCCACTGTGATAACTCACAGCTGAACTGTGAGCAAGCGCTGTCTTAGTTGGTGTCTTAATTAGGATACCACTATGATGACCAAAAGCAAGTTGGGAAGGAAAGGGTTTCTTTGACTTACACTTCCACATTGTAATCCATCATTTAAGGAAGTCAAGGCAGGAGCTCAAACAAGCAGGGAGCCTGGAGGCAGGAGCTGATGCAGAGGCTATGGAGGAATGTGCTTGCTTGCTTGCTTGCTTGCTTGCTTCATGACTTTCTCAGCCTGCCTTCTTATAGAACTCAAGATCACCAACCCAGGGGTAGCACCCACCCACAATGGGCTGGGCCCTCCTCCATCAATCACTAATTAAGAAATGTCCTACGGGCTTGCCTACAGCCTGATTTTATGGAAGCATTTTCTTAATTGGAATTCCCTCCTTTCAAATGACTTTAAGCTTGTGTCAAGTTGACTTAAAATTATCCAGCACTGTTAGGAAGCCCTCATTGTGACTCTAAGCACGGAGGTGGAGCAGGGGACATTGGGGAATATTTGTATACACTGTAAAGATGTGTCTTTGCCAAAGGCGCCTTCTGATTGGCTTAATAAAGAGCTGAATGGCCAATGGTTAGGCAGGAGGGGACAGCTGGGATTTCCAAGGAGAAAGAGGAAGAAGAAGAGGAATCTAGTTGTGTGATTTTAACCAGCAGACTCGGACCAAGTTGAGCATGCAGTACAGAGAGGAAGTGACTTAGCTGCGTGGCAGAATGTAGACTGAAAAAAAAAGGTTAATTAAGCTGTAAGAGCTAGTTGAAAATAAACCTAAGCTAAAGGCCAAGCTTTCATAATTAATGATAAGTCTCCAAGTCGTTATGTGGGGGTTGGCAATCCAAAGACAGTCTGACAAAGAAGCTTTCTCAGGGGCCCTGCCACACTGTTGAAGCCCCTCCGACCTCACAGTCTCTTTGTAGTGTCATGCTGCCCACCACAGTATTGCAGGCAGCAAACCAGCCACAGAGCACCAGGGCCCAATCTAAAGTGGCCTGCTTCCTTAGCTAACAACTGTTGCAAAATTCGCATACCATGTGGTTCCTTTTATTCAACACCTCACCATTTTCTCTTGTCAGTATCCAGTAGGCATTTTTCTTGAACAAACTCCAGTCTTGCACTTCCCTGACTCCCATCCCCATGTCACATGGAGCCTCCCCAGGAAGGGCAAGCAGCCTAGTCCATCTGTCATCTAGTTCCCTGGGTAGAAAGCAGCATCGCTCACGAACCTCCACGGTCTGTGGTACCGGAAGATGGTGTACCATAAACTGTCATGATCTCTGCTTCCCAGTTCACTGGAACATGCCCAGGCGTCAACGAATTAACCACCAAAAGAGAGAAAAAAAGGCATACTGAAAAAAATCAACAGCCCAAGGTAACCTGAAACACTAGTTCCTCAATATGAGACTTCCAGGAGATATTTTAACTGGGTTTCTGATGATCTGTCTAAAACAGAATCTCTCGAGAACTGTGAAAAGCCCCGTAAGTGAAGTCAGCAGGAACCGTCTCAGGAAAGGCTTTTGCCGTCGTGTTGCTGGGGTCGGGTGCAGAGACTGAAGGAAGGGTGGACATCATGATTAACTCCGAGTTCTAACAAAGCATCCAACGGCCATGAGGGGGCCAAGAATGGGGATACTGAAGCAACAGACAGTCTCTTCACCAGCTTTCGTGTGAAGACGGAAGAGCTATAGAAAATTTAAATGTCTCAGTGATTCCAGTGGTTTTCACAGCCCAGCTCTAGAATCTTACTTTCTAACTCAACAGTCTCGTGGGTTCCCTGCCTCACTCTGCTTTTGAATAGTGATTCGAAGAACAGAAACAAAAAAGCAGAAGGTTCATCCACTGCAAACGGGCACCGACACATGCCCCCCAGACAGGGCAGTGATGCCGGGGTGAACCGTCTCTAGGATTTTCTAGAAGATGGGCTGAGAGGTGCCCCTCGGAAGTCTTCCTAGTATTGTTAGTAGTTACTTCATTCTTCATTCTTATCAGAATCTAGTCAATGTTTAGGGATGGGGATCTAGTCAATGGTTTGGAACATGCTAAGCACACATTTGATCTAGCACCTGGCTACATCCCTACCCCCAACAGTCAATAGCTCTGTGACCAGTCACTAAGGAATGACAGCCCATCCATGACAGCAGAAATCATGAGAAGTTAAAAATGCCACCCCCACACATTAGAGGAGCTGGGGGGGGGGGCGGGAATCAGGAAAGAAACTCAGCTAGTGGCTGGGGTCATAGGGCCAGTGAGTCAGAAAAGACACAGACTCTGAATAAGGGTTAGAAGAGGGACTTCTACATGTGGGACAACCACCTCAATCTGCCCTGTACGGTTCTCACCATGACTGAAGCCACCCGACATTCAGAAAGAGACTGGGATCTGAAATAAGAAGGGATCCCTGTGTTTTCATTCTGCTTAAACAGTCAGGGTACTTTTAACTTCGCACAGTTAGCCTTGCAGATCTATAGGTTCTGAGTCCACAGTCAATTAACCCTGGAAAATATTTGAAAGGGAAAAATGCATCTGTTTGAACATACACAGACTTTTCTCATGCTATTATTTCCTAAGGAATATAGGATGAGTATTTTTATAGCATCAGTATTGTATCTGGTATTATAAACAATGTACAGGTCATTTAAAATACACAAGCGGATGTGCACAGGTTATGTGCAAATGCTGCACTATTTTATTGAATAGATCTGAGCATATGAGATGGTGGTGAGAGGAACCACCCCCTCACAGACATCCAGGACCAACTACAGACTAAACATCCTCAGAGTGAGCTGACCACGTGCTGTACTTTCTCTTTCTGGGTACGGTGTATTGCCCATATGTATATCTGTGCATCTCATACATGCCTGGCTCCCACAGAAGCCAGAACAGGCCATCAGAACCTCTGGAACTAGAGGTAACAGCTGGCTGTGAAAATACATGTGGATGCAGAGAATCAAACACAGGTTCTCTGAAGGAACTGTCAGCGCTTTTAACCACCGAGCCATCTCCCGGCCCTTTCTGTGTTGAACTTCAACAGTATCAGTATATATTTCTAAGTTGACAATGCAGGCTTCTGCAGGTTTGGGGTTAGTAAAGTGCTGCCTTTTACCACTGTCGCTGCTGTGTTTCTATTCCTCTCCTGGAATAACTACATTAAATCCAAGTTATAACAAATCATTGCCATACATCAAAAGCTTATTCTTTCCCTCCAAATCTGCTTGCAATTTTAAGATAATCCCTATTTCTGGTAATTCTTATCTAAAACTCTATTGGATTTATGAACTTCTTGGATAACAAAAAGAAATTTAGCATACATATCATGAAATATGACACTTCTCAGTAGGACTAAGGTAGTCGACATAACCAGTCATATTTATGGTTCTAGGCACACCTATGTATGTGTTCACAGTGAACAGGATGAAGAGTGAGCATGGTCTCACCTCAGCTCTAGTTTTACAGTAAAAGTTTTGAAGCTTTGGTTTGCAAGATTTGGGGGTTTTTTAGTTAAGGGAATCTGGTTCTGTGGGGTGTGAGTCTGAAGAATAGCACAGGTCACGGTGGTACGCCACAGCAGAAATGGCGGAGCTGAGATTGTCCAGGAAAAGCAATGCCATTCTGTACGAATGAAGGGAACCAAAACACGGAATAAGAAAACAATGAAACAAGCAAAGCAACATCTGAGAGAAACGCCCAGACTGAGCCCAAACACCAGGCCCACCAGACATTCGCCATCGTCATCTGTGCTGAAGCATGCTGTCAAGAGAAATCTAGTTCCCAGTCATTCTCTACACCCCAAAGGAATTTCTAGAACAGAAGACTATGGCAGTAGCAAAAAGACCACGTCCGCCATGGCAAGATTTTACATTGGCCCAGAGAGAGCCACTCATTCACATTCCTTGTGGAAAGCTAGAAGCTGCCTAGCCTAAGCCTCACTGTATCGCAACACCCCACATCAGGAGCTCACGAGACACCGCTTCTCTGCTCTCCCTGCCCCAGCAAAGATCACTGCAGGAGATGCTCAGCATCAAGAGTTGAAGAATTCCTCTGCAATCAACTTCAATAAATGGTTCACCTAAGCTTCAAGTAATGAAGAAACGTTCACACAAAGCAGCTTGGGCTCTGAGACATAATATGACGGGTTGTGGGGAAAAGCCTAATAGATTCAATAAGGACCTACAACAAACAGGAAAAGCAGGAATGTATTTTCTCTGTCAGATTAATATTAGTTCTGACACCAAATGCATAGCCATATATCTTAACCTATAACGACAGACTTGTGCCAAATTCTAGCACATGCTAAATCTCACCTTTCAAGTCCAAATAACAACAAACCATCACCTCAAGTCCACTAACTCAGTGGAGAGCATCACCTGCTCAATGGTACCGACGCTGAATGCAGCAGAATAGACTGTCTCCTACCTCCGCTCGACCCTCGTAGTAGGTTAACACGGACTTGGTAAGTACAAAAAGTCTCTCTTTGTAGTTTAGCGGGGATGTCTTCTTTTTCTGCTGGGACCGTTTAATAAGAATCTCTTCTAGGATAGTGTTAAAATTCATCTCGGTCTTCTGGTCGCTCTTTCTCCTGCCATTGAAGATCCCGGGATTCTAAAGTAAGAAAATAAACAGTGAGGATACGGTGCTAATTTTCTAATGCTACTGCAATTTTAAATTACGAATAGAGGCCCTCCTCACCCTCCAGCTAGGAGGGTCTTAAGTGTCCAGATTGGGTTGTGCAAGGCCCAAAGGACTTCCTCTCTTAGTTCAACCTCCATCCTGCCCAGCCATTTCCTAGGAAATGCTAATCAAGATTTTCCATGATGATGATGGTGATGTATGCCTTTGTCTCTCCTGGTATCCCTCAGCTCTCTAACACACTCTGCTATTTGACTTTAGAGAACAAATATCTCAGACGGCAAAGGGCATTCCACTGCCTGTATTGTTGGTTTAGGCTTCAAGATCATGGGATCTGAAACACATGCCAGAACACACAGCATTGTTGTAAAAGGAGTGGTGGGCTGCGTTCCCGGCAGCCGCCCAGCTAGTTTACACCCAAAATAATTACACCATAGCGTAAGTGATCTGAGCATGGTAGTGGGTACAATCCACACTAACTGAGGAAGGATGTCATCGGGACCTGGCATCGGAGCGGCGTCAAAGGGGAGCTACAGGCATGGCCCTATCCATCTCTATTACTCCATTACTATATAGTAATTATATAGTATCTCCATTACTATGCTCCATGTATGGCTCCTATCCAGACCTCGAGAGAAAAGAAGCCCACCCAGTCAGAGCTAACCCTCCTCAGGACGACCCACCTGGGTACAAAGATCAGTAGTCCTGTACCTAGAGCCTTGAAACTTAAACAAGAGCTGGCGAGGTGACTCAATTGGTAAAGGTGCTTTCCTCCAAACCTAATGACCTGAGCTCAGTCACCAGAACTCCCCATGGCATGCAGAAAGAAAGGGAGGGAGAAAGAAAGAGGAGGGAAGGGAGGGGAGGGGAGAGAAAGAAGAGAGGAGTAAAGGGGGGAAAAGAGGAGGGGAGAGAAGGGAAGGGGAGGGGAGGAGAAGAGGAGAGGGGAGAAGAAAGGAGGAGAGAGGAGGAGAGAGGAGGGCAGAAGAGGATAGAAGAAGCTTGAGGAAGGAAGGAAGGAAGGAAGGAAGAAAGGAAGGAAGGAAGGAAGGAAGGAAGGAAATTAAATTCTCAACCATTTTAGAACCCAAAGGTTCTCAGAAGAGACCTGCAGACACTTCCCTGAGACAAGCTGAATTAAGGGCAACTATCCCTTTCCTTGCCTTCTCCATGTCCTTTCAAGAAGTAATTGCATATCAAACTACAGAAACAAAAGGAGTCTCTTGAAGCACATGCAACAGTTACTTGACAGGGTGGCCAGAGACTGGATACTGAGCTACTAAGGAATTCTATCATACCTTCTTCCAACCTGATAACTTTAGTGTCCTACCGCAACTACACTCTCTTACTCATGACCATCAACCACTTGGGCTCCTCCGATGTCTATGAGGGTTTCTCCAACAGCATAGCCTGTAAACATCCACCCCTTTATTCAGAAGGTATGGCGGGGTCAGAGTGAGGTTTAAATGAGATATAGATAATAAACTTACTGTGAAAATGCTATACAAGTGTCTATTATGGTTATTGTGGTGGTTTAAATAGAAATGGCCCTCATAAGTTCATGGAGAGTGGCACTATCAGGAGGCATGACCTTGTTGAAATAGGTGTGGTGTTGATGGAAAAAGTCTGTCTCAGTTCATGTCCTGCTGCCTGTCAATCTGTATGTGGAACTCTCAGCTCCTTCTTCAGTACCATGTATGCCAGCACGCTGCCATGCTTCCCGCCATGATGATAATGGACTAAACCTCTGAAACTGTAAGCCAGGCCCAATTAAATGCTTTGCTTTAGAAGAAAGGAGGTGTTGTGGCCATGGTGTCCTCGTCACAGCAACAAAACCCTAACGAAGACAGCCATATTTACCTCCACCATAATTTCCCCAGCTCAGAGCATCCTCAGCTCACAGCTAGACAACAGCAGCACCTTCCCAACTGGGCTTCCATTACCAACACTCATGCCTCATTTAATTCTAACTACATACCCCTTCTTCTTGCTGAATCAGTCTCCAAAGTTCCAGCAGGTCATTTCATTCAGCAGACATCCTTAGGGTCACCCAACTCCTGCAGGATAAAGTCAACACTTAGTCTGACTCTGAAGAGGTTCACAGTGCGGTTGCAATCTGACATCTGATTTTCTTTTTGACTCTTCCCCAGTCACTCCAAATACAAATATGGCAGGGCCACCCCTCGCAGTATCCATTCCCTGGTCTACAGTACTCTCCCCACTCCTCCCTCTCCATCTATGACAACTCCATCAACTCAGAACTCACCACCCCCACAATGTAGTCCTTTTCCATGTCTCTAGATAATGGCAATCTTCCGATATCTGTACCCATAATCTCATTCATGACAAAGGTAATCATATTCTTCCATATCTGTAACAATGAATAAAGCTTAACTTCTCACCTAGTTATTAATATACTAACATGTACATTGGAATCCTCAGAATAAATTTTGAATACAGATATCTAGGTTCTGTTTTCATTTTCCTTTAATATTTTTTAGATCTGAAGTGGGGCCTGGACATTATAATTCTATGGGCAGGTAGAACTGTGAGCCGCCATCTTAAAGGAAGAGCCTGAAGCTTTGTGCTTCTTTTTACCACTCTTGGTGCTTATAGCAGACGGTAAGACGGTACGCGAACTGGGAACTTGGCTGGAAACTTTACACACAGAAAGACAGACAGAGACACGGGACACAGGTCGTCCTTGAAACAAGAACGCCAACTTTATTGTGCTCAGGTGCAGCTTATAGAGGGCTCTGGCCATGCCCCAGCTCTCAGGATCTCTCAGTCACAGGCCCACCAGACACCACTCTCCTGCCATCAGGGTCTCGTGCTCAGAGCAGTTGCAGGCACAGGTAAACAGGTTGTTTTGCTCAGTTCACTCCAGCAGGCAAAGGGTATGAGGCAGGCAAAGAGAGTCAAGGGGCCAGAGGTCTGCAGCCCACAACTCTTGATAAATAATTACAACCTGGACCCATTAATCCATGTGCATGTTAACTGGGAAATCAAAGGCAAACCATTCTTTTCGCATCTAAGTTGGTCCTCTTGCTATATTGCAATTTTGTCCTGTTCATTTGGGTGTATATTGTGAATAACAACACTCAAGAGGTTGAGGCAAGAAGATTGTAAGACTCAAACCAAACCTAGCCTACATAATAAGGTTCTGTCTCAAAAATATAGAGATAGATAGAGATGAGATAGAAATAGATATTTGGGGGAGATAGAGGTGCTCTCTTTTGTTTTCCTGAGAAACTATTGGTATGCAAATTCCACTTCTTTAGAAATCTTTTTATGTTTCCAGGAAGGGAAAAAATGGCTCCTTAGGGAAGATTACCAGAGGAGAAACAAGTTAGGCTCTAGACACGCATGTGTTGTTCCGATCCAAAGAGCAACTCCTCTGCTACCCAACGGTGCACAGATTCTCGGAAGGCACCGGAGGACAGCTAGAGCTTAACTGTGGTTCTCGAAGCAAAAGATCCCAACACCAGAGATAAGAGAAACGGCTGTTTAATGACTTCACGGTGAGGAGGGAACCAGGTAATCTGATTTATTGAGAGACTCATGGTCATACAGAATCATACCATGTGAGCTGAAAGAGATCTCACACATCACCCCCTTTGCCTCACAAATTAGAAAACTAACATTCAATTAGGCGTATTGCCCAAAGTATCACAGACCAAGATCAAGAAAAATAAATAAATCTCTCCTGGTTCCAAATGAAGGACTCTTCGTACTATTCCACACCACACAAATTCACTGCCTGGTAATAATTCATAGGTCAATGGAAAATTCTGGCCAGCAAAAGCCATTGTCCTTTGTAGGGTGGAAAGGAAGTATATCTCTACTCACGGAAATGTCCAGTTAAAGAGGCTGAACATACCCACTGCCATCCTGGAAGACCATCAAAAACAGCTATTGTATTTACTTGTTGTTATTAAGAAATTAACACTCTGATGGACTGAAGAGATAGCTTAGTGGTTAAGAACTTGTGCTATTCTTGAGGATGACCCAGGTTTGGTTCCCAGCACCCGTTTTGTGGTTCTAGGGAACCCAACACCCTTTCTGATCTCCACAGCCACCTGCATTCACACATACATATCCTGCCCCCTACACAAACACATAAATTAAAAAAACAAAAAAAAATAAGTTTAGAAATAAATAAAAAAATTTTAAAAGAAATTAACACTCAAAAGTAGAAGCCAGAAAAAGATACTAAATAAATAAATAAATAAATAAATTTCAGAAACTAGAAGACAAGTACATGCTAGATCTAACCAAGGGAGGCACAGAGAGGCACCTGGAAACAAATAATTTTATACCTGAAAACCTCTAGATAGTATAAAAACTAAGTCACCAAGTCCAGAAGCTCTAGAAGTAGTGGTAAAGAAGAAACTGAAGCATGTGTGCGTGTGTGCATGCATATGTGTGTGTGTGTAAGAGAGAGAGAGAGAGAGAGAGAGAGAGAGAGAGAGAGAATGTGTGCATATAAGGATGAGGGTACAACAGAGGCCAGCGATTAACATGTTACCTTTACCAATTGATTTCTACCTTACTTTTTGAACAGTGTCTCTCATAGGACCTGGAGCTCACTGACACACTAGCCAACAAGCTTCAGAGAGCTGCCTGTCTCTGTCTCCCCAGCTTTGGGTAGCAGGCATGCGCTTCTATACTTTCTCTGTGGATTCTGGTGAACAGAACTCAGGCCCTGATACTTTCACGGCAAAGACTTTACCAACTGAGCTACTTCCCAAACTCTCTAAAGAAAGGAACTAATTTTTCAGGGGAAGGGGGTCAGACAGGCTCTCACTATGTGGTTCTGGTTGGCCTGGAACTCTCGATGTAAGTCATGTAGACCTCAAACTCACAAAGCACCTCCACGCTCAGCCCCAAGAGAATTTTTTGCAGGTCTATTTAAGATATAAAACATATTCACTCCTCTGTGTTAAGAGTCTAGGTAGATAGCCATCTCAATTCTAGGGTTTGAATTGGTCTCAATTTGGGGGGGGGGGGTTGTTATTTTTTTTCTTCATGAAACTTAAGACAGAAGCTCTATCCTGAGAGAAATGAAGACCTGAGGCAGGGGTACCATGGGAACTAAGGTCAAAGGGTCGAAGCAGAGGCAGGGGTACCATGGGAACTAAGGTCAAAGGGTCGAAGCACATACAAGTGAATTTTGACCACCCAGCTCTTTCATACCATGTGGTCCAGAACACTGGATTCAATACAGACCAACTAGCACCATCGAAACCAGGCACAAGAGTGTTCCTCCCCGAGAAAACACAAATACATCATCTTATAGTCAGGCCCAGTGCCAACAAGGCCCAACTCCAAACACAAAATGGAAGAAAGCTTAGGATCACCAAAGAATTCCAGAAAGATCTTAACATGGAACACAGTTGAGACAAGGTGGGGACATAGCCAGAGTAAGCCATGAAGTGCCGAGGGGTGGGATGGGACACTGGGCATCAAGAGCGCAGACATTAAAAACTCAGAAGAGTTAAAATACAAGAAATAAAACAGAAAACCAAGCAGACAATGAACTGGGAAGAAAACACAACTGCATTAGAGAGCCCACCCAGAAGCCCAGAGTGTGAAACTTAGAGTTCTAGAATAAAACAATAGGAAGAGGAAAATTATTTATTTATTTATTTATTTATTTATTTATTTATTATATATACAATAGTCTGTCTACATGTATGCCTTCAGGCCAGAAGAGGGCACCAGACCTCATTATAGATGGTTGTGAGCCACCATGTGGTTGCTGGGAATTGAACTCAGGAGCTTTGGAAGAGCAGGCAATGCTCTTAACCACTGAGCCATCTCTCCAGCCCCTGAGAAAAATTTTTTAAAAATTTAAGAGTTTTGCCAAAATAAAAGTTATATCCAGATTAAAATATGACCAAGTCAAGCTACATCTTATAAAATTTCAAAATTATGGAAATAAACAGAAGACTCAAAAAGCTTAAAAGTGGGTAATAATAGGAAAGATGAGAATCCAGAGTGGTGATCACCACAAGCAATCCTGGCAGCTCAGAAACAGAGGGTTTCTACTTAGAAGAAACTGGAAACTGAGAAAATGGGAGAAGCATCATCAGAAGACAATGGATTCCTAACTTAAACTCTATACTCAGCAGACTACCAATAACAGTATAGGATCATAAATAGTATAACATTCATCTACGCAAGGTTCTGAGTTGTTTGCCTCCTCTTTACTCTTCTGGAAAACTACCTGATAATGTGTTCTACCAAAATAAGGCAATAAACACACAGAGAGTTCTGGAATCAAAGATTCTAACACGAGAAAGGGCAAGAAGACCTCCCGATCTCTCATCACGATGAAGGGAAATTCCCAGGTGGAATGAAATGACATTTCAAGATGACAAAGAGCAGCAAGCAAAGGGACCATCCTGTCCAAAGGATCAAGTTAGCAGGCTCCTTGGAAGAATTCTTCTAGAAGATGAAACCGAAATAAGTTAGCTAGAAGGGGAGAGAGGAGGAAGGAAGAGGAATGGGGAAACAAATATAAACTGGGCGGTGGTGGCGCATGCCTTTAATCCCAGCACTTGGGAGGCAGATGCAGGCAGATCTCTGTGAGTTCAAGGCCAGCCTGATCTTCAAGAGCTAGTTCCAGGACAGGCACCAAAGCTACAGAGAAACCTTGTCTCAAAAACAAACAAACAAATAAACAAACAAAATTTATAGCACATTCCTATCCAAACAATTAAAATGAGAAGGATTTAAAAAAAAAAGTTAGCTAGGCATAATCAATGTAAGAAATAAAACTAACTAATGCCAGGGAAAAATTTTTAAGAAATCATACAGAAAAGGCATACAGAAGCAACCACAGTACATCCCAAGCCTGGCTATATAGATCATACCCATGGCATCACAATAATGTAAATAATAAGTAATATTCTTGCTGCAATTATAAATGTTTGCGGAGGGCAGGAAGTGTGTTTCCGTGTGGGTGGGAGGGCAGGTTGTGCAAGAGAGCCACTTTCTCTTCAGTAGTGACAGAGGTGGAAGAGGAAGTAGAGTAGAACATAAACTTGAAATA